ATGTATGTATGTATGTATGTATGTATGTGTGCGTATGTAAACTTTTTGTTAACGGTCTAATTAGTGCAAACTGTCTAACCACAATATTTTCGTCTTTTTCATATATTGATATCGCATTCGTTAATTATCTTATTCACTTACCAATTTGAAATAGATTACCATACAAATTGTAATCATAATTCACATAAGAAACCCTACGAAAAATTGTCAATTTTTGATTAACTGTGTTTCACATACGAAAACATTCACTAAAATTTCAAATATGAAACATCTCCGAACATTGTCACTTTTTTGTTTCTTATTGTGTTTGACCTACTAAAAATTACATATAAAACATCTACTTATATATTGTTGCTTTCTAGTTTCACCTATGAACTTTGGTGAAAATTTTGAAACAATAAAAGTTCATACCCAAAACAACACTATGAACTTTAAAAAAATCATTCAAACCCAAATCATATAACCAACGGATTACCAGATCTTTGGGTTTCTAACAAATTCATGATCACTTCGTCATACAAAAATCAATACAAATCAGAATCCTAAATCGAATTCAAACATAAATCAAATACAAATAAAAAACCTTAAAAACAAATTCAAACGGAAATCGAATCTCTAAGCAAAAAGTGAAACCCTAATCTTGATCTCCCTTCTTGCATAACATAACTCTACAAGATTAAGAAAAATGATGGGATAAAAAGAAAGAAAAAAAATTGTGGTCCCTCGCATTTGTTTGAAGGAGATGCAAAAACTTGAATCCTCTTATAGTCTCATGGATTATTTGTTTACCTCTTAATAGTTTCATTAAAAGAAAACCTCTGAATCGTTAAGAGGTGAATCTTGTTTGACAAAAAAAAAAAAATTTGTCTCTTAATGATTTTGTATCATGAGTCTCCCTTAACCATTAAGAGCCCCAATTTTATTATAAACAATTACCAAGAAATTATACTTCGTTTTATACTATAATATCATAAAAGTCTTTTAATCATTCTGCACCAAACTATTTAGCAACTACTAAACAACCCTTATGCACACAATATAGGATTATAGGTATGTGACTATGTATGAATCTTATGGGCCTAACAATATACGTCTGAATCTTATGGGCCTAATATAGAGTGATTGATTTGGGCCTGCACTATATTTATTACTTTTTTACGAATCACTTTTTTATTTACTTCTTGATTAAAACTTAATTTTGATGGTCATTACATAATAAATCAATTTATTTGAAAGAAAAAACTATTACAATTATTTATAAAAAAAAAAAAGAATGGAGAAATCTCTATAACATACATATTGAAGATCTTATACTTTAATAGATGTCTCATAACTCATTCTTTACCCATTAAACTCGTTGGTTTTGTTTCTATTTTTGAAAAATATTACGATGTAATTTGTAATTATGATCACAAATAAGGAAGTACGCGTTCGTTGACCCATGATGATATGACAATGGGGGATCATGCTTTGTGAGAGTTTGTGAGTGGTATGTTTGTTTTCAGTTAACCAGTTTAATAATTTAAAGACATACTTGGCATGTCACAATTTTTTAATTAATAGTTGAAGGGGTCGATTGGGCGAAGAAGTTTTTAATATTATGATGAAAAGTACTATTGGGGAAGGTCCCACTCTGTTTGTGTCCGCTAGCTGACGACGTGTTTATCAAATGCGGGGTCGGACCTAAGAAGGTCTGAGCGGGGTTCCGTGCATCCGTTCAACCGATTTCTATAAGTAGATTTTTTGGGGGTACCAGCGGTGCAACTATTGAATTTTTAAAGGTGTTTCGAAATATTAGAACATACAAGGGATATCAACCAAAAAATCGTAAAAGTCGCTCTAAATCAAAAAATAAAAAAACAAAAACAAAAACGGTAAACTGAAATCAACAAAAAGAACTTCAAAAAATATCTCAAAACGATAATATTCGGCAAAAAAAAAATAGTTCTTTCACCTTCAAGATGTATCCGCTTTGAAAAAATCTTAGGTTCACCTTTGACCAAACGCGTACCTACGTGCTCTTGTGTCATCTATCTTACCGCTTGAGTATGGTACGGATCGAGATTCTTACCCAATGAGAGACATAGCAAGGGCCTATAATTTCCCCGTAAATAAGAAAAAAAGGTTTTTACTGAGTAAACATTTATCGGGTAAAAGAGTTTACCAATAATTTGTTTTAATGATCAATTTTTTTTTTTATTAAAAAAATGAGAATGATAAATCTTGCTGATAATCAATTAAGTGATAAAAATCCCCTAAATTCTCTATAGAGGTGTTTGGTTGGCTTTCTTTTAAGTCTTTTATGGATAAAACTATCTATGCGAATTGATCTATTTGGTGTAGATTGGAAAAGTTTTGTTTGAGAGAGTGTTTTCCTAAATAGAATGGGCGTGTTTTTTTAATTAGGAGGATCATGTTTGAATTTTTTTGGCTTTTTGTATAAACTCACCTCTAGAAACTTACTAAATATCCACTTTCTGTATCATTAAGCCACCACCAAACAATCATGTATAAGATTGCACTTGGGTTGGGTTGAGTTGGGTTGAAGGCAGTTGAACAACAACCCAATATTTGCGGTTTGAAAAATCTCAACACAAGAAAAACTACAACCTAACCCAACCCAAACCGTGCAGGTTGGTCGGGTTGAAAGCATTTTAACAACTCAACTCAACGTTTACGGTTTGAAAAATCTCAACACAAGAAAAACTACAACCTAACCCAACCCAAACCGTGCAGGTTGGTCGGGTTGAAAGCATTTTAACAACTCAACTCAACGTTTACGGTTTGAAAAATCTCAACACAAGAAAAACTACAACCCAACCCAACCCAAACTGTGCGGGTTGGTTTGAGTTGGTCTGGTTGAAACTTTGTGATATCATTTTACAATCTAGCTAAATGTTTTTGTTTAAAGTAAGTAAAATCAAAATGATAACATACAAAGATGACTAACAAACTCAAAAAAGAAAGTTGAAGGTTCATATAATTAAGAAAAAATAAAAATTACGGTAGATATTGTAATAAAATTTTGAATATACTAATTATGGATTGATCTAATATCTAACGTATATATATTAATCAAAGACTTAATAACCATATTAAATATAGAGTATATAAGTGCATCAGGTTCATCGTGTTGAGTTTGGTTAGAAAATCCTAACCCAATTTCAATCCATTAGACGCGAGTTGGTCTAATTTTGTATCAACTATGTGTCGAATTAGTTCGGGTTTGTTGGCCGGGTTGGTTACTATTTTGAACACCCCTGATTATATATAGCTGACCAAATAAGTTGTGAGTCTTATTAAGTTGTTAACAAATTGACCATTTATTTTCAATAAAAGTTTTTTCAAAGTTGTCTCTCTCAATTAAAAAAACACATTGAAAACCATCTCAATCAAAAACATTTATAATTTATACAGACAGATTAATTCATACAAACATATTTATCCATATAAGACTTAATTAAAAACCAATCAAACGTTACTAAAAAATTAAAAAAAAAAACATGCTACCTATCTCCTGTCACATAATTATTTGGCCAAAATGCTACGTGTCACCCTCTAGTTGTAAACCGTTAACCAAGAGTCAAAGTTTGTGAGGGTGTGTTTGGTGCACTGGACAGGGTGGGACAGAACAGGACAAAACACAATTGTCCTATATTTGGTGTGGCCTTATGTGAAACTAAGTAGAACTAAGTAGGACACGGGTGGGACACGGTTGTTCACCCTTACCCCCTGGAACTAAGTGGAACTCAAATTTTTTTACCACTCTACCCTTCATCGCTTCCTTCATCCGCCTCCATCGCTTCCTTCATCTGCCTCCATCGCTTCCTTCATCAATCGGCGACAAGTTTTACCTTCCCCTTCATCAATCGGCGACGAGTTCTACCTTCCCCTTCATCTCGACGAGTTATACCCTCTCCTCTCTCTCAGGTACACGATTGCTTCATTTTGCTTTTTCAATTAAATCGATTGCTTCAACCGATTTCTTTTTCAACTGTTTGCTTGGACCCTAAATCGATTGCGTGAACCGATTTCTTTTGCTTGGACCTATTTCTTGTTTGCTTGAATCCTAAATCGGTTGTTTGCAACTGCTTGCTTGAACCCTAAATCGGCCTTTTCAACTGTTTCCTTGAACCGAGACTGTTTCATCTAAGCCAGTATAAACAGAGACTCAGTTGAACTACATTTAAGTTAAAATTTATCAAATTCTTGGTGACGATCAGCTAAGCTAAAGTCTCATTAAAGAGTGTTCCAATCAATTCAACCTTTCATCCCAAACTAATTCCTAAAATTGGAACCAGAAATTATGAAAAGAGAAACCTCATAGGGTTCCAAGACATATAAAACAGATTGCAATCATACTCCAAGTTATCAGTCATTCAACCCAATCAAGAAGTTAAAATCAAGCCTCTAAATGGTATAAGTTATCGTTTCTGTTTATGTGCTTGATTCCTAACTAGTAAAGGAATCGGTATAATTACCTAACCTGTTTCTGTTTATGTGCTTGATTCCTCTGCATATTGCATAAGTTATCAAGATGAGCTTCAAACATCATGGGAAAATTAATAACACCATTTTCTTACATGTGTTACTGAAATCACATAACACAAGCTCACGCTATTAAAACATAATTGCATTCAATACTTGGTAAGTGTTAACATTTATATTGATAATTTAGTGAAAAAACACTAAACAGCTCACTGGGGGTAAATTGGTCATTTTAACCAGTTCTGTCCGGTGCTGTCATGTCTTACCAAACGCTGAACAGCTGTCATACCTTATCTACGCACCAAACGCACCCTGAGAGTTACAAGAGGGAAAATGTTACCTGCATCCATAACACAATTACGAAGGCCCAAAGTGCTACGTGTCATCCAATGGCTAAAAATAAGGTACCTTCTTTATGTAAAAGAAATTACTAAAAGAAGCATGTTGACATGAATTAGAATCAAGCAATAAAAAGAAAGTTAATTAAGCAACTGAAATCTTATATAAATAAATTAGCAAAAAAGTCAGGTGTTTTATTGGACGGCTCTCATCAAATCAACATATTTGTCAACGGCTACGGACGGCACAGCTAACATCACCTTCACTGAACGGCTGTGATCGTCTACAGGTAGTAATATACAGTACTTATCGGTACACACCGGTCCCACCTGAACTGGCCTCCCTATTCCAAAGTCAACCCTCTCCAAACCCAGCTTTGACCATTGTGATAGAATCAGTACGCCAACTGGGTCGGGCACACCTCTCGCTCCGTTTAGACTCACTGAGTTCACTACTTCTTTTACGTATTGGTCGTCGACTCGGTTCTTTGCTTCTTTTATCAACTCCGTGGCGTACGCTAAGCCCTTTTCTGTTAGGTCTCTCGCGGTTGCCTGAGCGCAACCGAGTACGATGGCGTTTCCGTAGTATCCGGTGGGTAGACTCGGTTTGACTCGGTGGCGTATGTCGATGCTGAAAAGCAGTTTAAGGATTTGTTGCGGTGGGAAGTTCAGTGCTTTGGCCCAGCTTCTCCAAACCTTAGCAGACAAGACCTCGAATGAAGTGAGTGATGATTTGCTGAGTTGACTCGTCGGAGTTATGGAATTCTTCAACTCGTTTAGTCTCCATTCGTCAAATGTGACCGCGGTGGGAGTGAGTTGGTCAGGGGTGAACCGAGTCATAAACTGGCAATGGTCAGTAACTCGGCTGAACTCGAGGTGTTGCCTCGGTCTAGGTTGTTTAAACGGTGTCTGATCAAGAAGGTGTCGTTGCCAAATGGGTTTCGGTTTAAATTCCAACCCCCCTCCATGACGGCGACCGGTGGCCAACGCCGCGAACAGGTTGAGAAACTCAACGCTGCCGACACCGTCACAGATACAATGGCTATAGCCGACACCAAGAGCTGCTGCACCGTCGGAGAGCCAGGTGAGCTGGACCACCAGTGGTGGCGCCCCCTTGAGGACGTCAGCCACTTGCAGAGCCAAAAGCCTCCGCCATTCCGTAACATAACGTGGGGCCCTTTCGAAATCGGAAAGCGTAAAATCAGCAGTGGCTTCGATGAAAACAGCTCCTTGGGCACGACAAACGACCTCGAGACAAGAACCATCTGGTCGAACCCTGACTCTACCTGCTAATGGATAGTAAGGAACCAGGGCTCGAGCCAGAGCAGACTTGACACGAGCTGTGACGTGATCTGTGTGGAGGCCATTGAAACGGTAGATGAGTAAATACTCGATGGTGAAACGTAAAAAGAGCTGGGAATCAACAGAAGAGAGCTTGAGAAGATGAGTAGGAGTGGGATCTGAAGGAACGACCAAGGCTGCTTCTTTGACATGAACCTGAGCCGCTGAGCTTTCCATGTTGGTCATGGCGTCTCTGATGGTCATAAAGGGGCACCTGCATTATATATAAACATGTATATGTATAAAGAAAATGGTTGTAAGAAAGAAGAAAGAAACATAAAACAAGAGTGACCACTGTAAAAGATTTGGCCAAGATTCTGATGGTGGTGGCCTACAAATTAAAAAACAAAGAAATGAATGACAGCTCGGATTTTGCCTTTTGTCTCTTCGGCGGTGGGTTGCATCGTGTTTGCCCTTTTCCACTCTCCTCCCTTGTTAGCCATGGGAATATGAGCCGGAACTTGGTGTATCTGTTTCGGAGACGGGGAGTTTCGGTAAAATTGGAGATCGAGAATCGGAGAACTTGGGATTTCTGACCTGTCTCGTTCCTATATATTAGATGTATTACATATTTACGTATTTTTATTTTTTATGAAAATATATGAGAATTAAACATAGATCATTTTGATTTAAAATCACTCATTCCCCTGTTAAAGACGATGATAAAGATGTAATCATATTATATTCCTGGATTGGAATAGTGATGAGAATTGAGGTCCTTGCGGCCCCGCCCCGTGCCTATCTCTTGTCTATTTTATTTTTTAATTTTTCTTAAAATTTAATTATTTTCCGGATTCAACATATAATTGTTTTATAGGTTATAATTTTATTTCTTCCCGTTTAACCTGTGATGAAAATTTGGGTTTCTAGAGAAAATGAACTCATTATATTATATAAACCAAACAGTTTCATTTATTATCATTCTTATTGATTATTATTTAATACCTCTAACCAAACACTCGTGAATAATCATTAATTATTCATTTGTATGTTATTCATTGCTATTAAATTATTAAGTATAATGTATATTTTTATTATTTAATGCATTTAGTTATTGAAGAGTATATAAGAAATTTAAAATTATTTTTATAAATTGCACAAAAATCAAATACATATTTCTCTGTTTTATAAATAATAAAACTTTAATAATTTAATAAAGTATCAAAAAATAATTGTAATCGTTACTTTTAAAAAAAAATCAATTATAATATATAAAATTCAAACTTTTTATTTTTATTTATATTATATGTAACTAGAAGCGTACTCGCGCAATGCAGCGAGATACATCGTGTTTTTTTATTTCATTTTATTATTTATCTCAGTCGATGTTATAATATGGCTTTATGTGATTTTGAGAAAGCGATGATGTTTTTATTTTTGAATAAAATATATATTTGACGATATCATAAAAATTTGACAAAAATATATCGATATTAGTATCAAATTAACTATTTGAAATTCCTCATTTTTTTGTAATTTTTTAATC